CTTGAATTATTTGTGACATCTTGAATTATTTTGAATTGTAGTGAAAAGATGTCATGAAGCAATGAAATTAACAAGTATAGAAAATATTTAGAAAATTTTCCAAGTCTTGCAAAGTTGGATTTTTGACACTCTTGATTTTTTACGATAAAATTTCATATTTTGGATGTCTTGATGAAATGTGATTTTTGGGACTCAATTTTGGTCAGAAAGTCAAAGTTTGACTTTTTAGTGCACAATTGACTTTTTCCACCATTTGACCCAATTTTGTCTATCAATCCACTGATCTTAGGAGATGAATTGAAATATGCGATTAGGTCAAAATGATACGCTCGGATCCTTGATATCATGCTTCCAACCAATAAGTCAGGTATTAGGTCAAAAATTAAAGTTCGATCATTTTCAGTCAAAACCCTAATTTTGCCCATTTTGCCCTTTTGATAATTTGAGTGACTTTCTGGAAAATTGTGATCCAAGACTTGAAACTTGACAAAAGTAATCCCGAGGGTCCATAATGATCCATGAAAGTCATTTGAAACATTATAAATCCAACTGCCTTTATACGAACTCAAACCCTAATTTGAGACATAAGTGTTGAGGAGATTGTTTGACCTAGTCGATACTTACGCAAGCTTGGGTCATTGAAGATCTTTGTAGAAAATATCTTGAGAAGTGAGAGGGAAAATTTTGGGGTACAACAACACCCCTCACATCTATGGTACCCCACAGGATCCACTCTAGTTGTTCTAATCAAAGGGTGTGTTATCTAAAGATAAGGGAATGCATGAACGAATTGTTAAAGAACAAAAAGAAAGTTTTTATTATTGCGCTTGCCTCAGTTTTGAAGCCTTGTGCATATGTATCCTCGTCCTGCAACAGGGAATCATTATACCATAGTTCTTCTGAAAAATAAATGCTCAGTTGAATGTTTTTTATGAACGATGTTAATTTCGCATTCTATTATCGCTCGACCTTTCGAGACTCATACATTTTTCGTAGAAAGGAATTAACATGTTCTTACCTGAAAATGTTTTCAAAAGAAAAATCTCGAAGGAAAAAGATATTTGATTGGTTGAGTCTTTTTGTTACCTAGAAAAATGATTTGATGATTGAACCATATTAAAGACTATGAATGAGAAGAAGAATAAGGTTAGGAATATACCGCCTTATCCTTCTCCCATTACTTAAGGCTCATGGCATATGGTTCGCCTCTTTATTTGTTAAGTATTTTTGAGTTTTGATAAAATAAAAAAGAAGTTTAGTCTTACAAGAATGCAATGCAAAACAAACCACTAACAAGTGCGAAGGGGGTCTCAGCCCTACTTGTTGTCATGCAATGGTGGCCCTAAAGATATAGGGAATGCTACCTAATTGTTATTATGATTGGTTTACACACCTAAATTATACTCAATTTATCATAAGCAATATTGAATCAATAACCTAAGGAAGTATGTTATCACAAGTCATCAGACAAAGCAAGCCAGAAGAACAATGTCGCGATCTCAGTAGGGGGAGAAGACTGAGTGACTCCTCGTCATCAACTAAAACAAAAGGAATGATGTTGTGATCTCAGCCGGGGTACAAGACTGGGTGACTCATCGTTCACCACAAAGAAAACATGCAAACAAAGTTGCAAATCAGAGGTAACAACTAAATGATAAACATCAAATGCAAATGTATCAACCCCAAAATGAATCACAACTACCTAACAAGACAACCAACTTCATATTTAGAGATCACACCCACAAATATATCAAACATTATTTGTTATGAATTGCAAACAAAAGAATAGCCACAATTATGAACAAAACTAACTTCAAATGATTAAGAAAAATAATAGGAGAAAACCTAATTAATTCTAAAAAGAAAAGTCCTAAAACAATTCTAATATTCCTTAAAAAAATTAGAATTTTGATTGTTTTTTTATTATTTCCTTATCACTAATTAATATTTTGATACGGTGGCAGAACCGACTATGTAATACTGGTTTGCGTTTGTGTTCGCAAATGTTGCGGTAAGTAAGAGTCACCACTGACTTTTCTTTTATCCAACAAAGGAAAGGGTGAAAAGAACAGAAAAGACCTTTTAGAGTGTTTTCTGAGTAAGGGGGGTAGATTATGGAAAGGGAAGGTGTTAGAACCCTTTCCATCTGTGGTTTTCCACGGGCTGTTAGAGATTTGCTCATTTTTCAAGATGCTTTTGTGCTTTATGTTTGAAAATGTTTTGAAGATGCCTTAGTACGCCGAACTTTGTAATGTTTCTCTGAATAGTAGAGAAAGTATACAAAGTGTTTGAAAATATCTTTTGAAAAGAATAGTATTTATGTGTAAATGCAAAAATAGTTTGAGCAAACTTCTAATAGCTATCTACTTTTGTACTTGAAAAGGTTATTTTTTTCCTCTTTTCCTTTAGACAGTGCTATCCTACTATTAGTGAGTAGGTAGCCTTGTCGTTGGATGTTTTGAGGGACAATTGGAGAAACGTTACAGTTACGAAGGCAACTTATGGAGATGCTTTAGCAATTCTATTTTAGGGACTAGATCATTTACCGAGAAGGCAACTGTAGGGTCATCGAGGGACTATGATCTTTTGATTTATGGGTCTTTTCTAAAGCATTCCTGCCCCATGACTGTTTTTTAAAGGCAACCAAAGTGGGATACCCTAGAAGTGCTTGTGTGCAATTGTGTTCAATTCAGTTATTTATCTTTTTATCAAGTTTGCTAACGTTTGATTTCAACTTTGTCATACGTACCTAGTTACTAACAGTTAATATATTGCATAATATTAAAGTGAAGGAATTTAAATCTACACTATTACAATGCTTCGGGGAGGGGATTTACATTATACAAGGATAAAGGGGGATAAAGCAGTAAATATCCTAATTTTTATCTATTACACCCAGTAAACAGATATAATAATAGTAAAAATATGAAACTAAATAAACGCGCGCAAAGTTGAAAACACGTCCGAAAATGTAAAAAGAAAATATTTTTGTTGTTTTTAGTATAAAAGAAAATAAAGCCTAAGTCTATTTAATTTTAATTTTAAGAAAAATATGTTAAAATAATTAATTAATTTATTCATAAATTAATTTGATTAATAAAACACTAACCTAATATGTTTTGTGATTTTCTGATTTTAAGATTGATTCAAATGATAAAGTCAATAAAGAAATAACAAAAAAAGAACAAAGAATAAGAACATAAAAGGCCTCCTTCGATTGCAGGGAGAGGTGGGCCTTTCGATTGAAGTGAAAAATAGGGCTTCAATCCAAGGAATGTTGTCTTTCGATTGAAGGGTGTCATCCTTCGATCCAGGGAGAGATTGCCTTTCGATTGAAGGGTGCCACCATTCGATCAAGGGAGATGCTGCCTAGAAGTTCTTGCTGGAAACAGTTTGATGGGTCCCTTGTGAGGACGCTATACCTGCAAACATGCTAGCAAACGAAAGACATGACCTGGGTGTCAAACCCAGGCCCTTTGATTCTGTCTAGAATGACAAATCGAATGAAATAAAAAATATGGATGTGTTATGTAAATACAAAGTTTGACATTTTATCCTCTCTTACAAGTAGTTGGAACCTTCGATTTGGAACTTTTTGGATATGGGTACCTTCGATCTGGGACTTCTGGGCGTGGATACTTTTGTTGAAGGGTTGCTTTGACTTGGATTACTTATGAAAATTTTAACAACCTTTGGTGGGTTTGTGGGCAGCGTATCTCTAATCTCCCTCCCTTTGTAATGTGTCCTTGGCCTCGTATTTATAGGAGTGTGAGGGTGCATGAAAATGGCAAGGGACAACCATTTAACCAGGCCTTTAAAGCCATGAGACAAGAATCATACATATTAAAAGATTTCCTTTTTGAAATATTCATGTCTCTTTGGAATCTTGAATGAACCTGGACACCTTTGATTTTTGAATGCCTTCAGGCCATGCTCTTCGATTGGCCTTAAGTTGCCTCCTTCAAATGGACTTCTTATGTACCCTTCGAATGGGCCTTCTGAATGCTTCTTCGAATGGACATTTTGGATGCTTCTTAGAATGGACCTTTACATTTTATTTGAATGGACCCTTTGAATGCTTCTTCGAACGGACCTTTACATGTTCTTCGAATGAGCCATTTACATGTTCTTCGAATGGGCCTCATGCCTGGTGTGCTGGAAAATTGAGGGGCCTTTACCTTTGTGAATCGAAACAAACTTGTAGGAGATTCTTGTCTCGTGAATCGAAGGAAAGCCTGAAGTAGTTAATGCGTAGTCAAAGAATTGTGAAATTGACTTGATCAAAGGGGGTCCAGCGCTTAATTGAAGACTTGCAGACCAAAGCTTGATCGAAGAGTTCCAAACACCTAATTGAAGCTTACTGTTCAAAGTCCGACCGAAGAGTGCCAAATGCCCAATCGAAGACTAGTGAGTCAAGCCTGTATCGAAGGATTTTAGATACGTAATCGAAGACTTTCACAGATGCCAATCGAAAGACACTTTGTTCATCTTCAAAAAAATTTATTTTCTTTAGGCAAGTGTTTGTGACCAAACATGTAAGGGAAGACCTTGGAAAACATGAGAGGGCAAATTTCGGGCTACAAAAAATATTATCAAGAAAATCACATGATTAAAAATATCTAAAAACAAATGGAGAGACCAGGGGGTGTAAATTGAATCCAAGATTTTGGTCTAGTAATTCTATGTTGAGGCCCATTCAAGAGAGATCACAATCAGCCTTTTTTGTTGCAAGGCCAAGGCTACAAATAAAAGTGTAATGGGCTTAGGGAATGAATCTGGTTCGATAATCCAATCCAAAAACCATTTTTTATTATTTTATTATTAAACCTATTCAAATTTTGTTTGATTAAAATAGTATTAAAAATGAAAAATGAAAATAAAAAAATGAACGAAACGGTAGCGTTTGGGGTGTCTAGGGTTCAAAATTGTGAAAGACGATTCATCTTCTACGAAAAACATGATCTCCTTCTCAGGTTCACTCGCCTTCTTCTCAAACGAAAATGATCGTCCTTTCTTCTTCTTCGAACGCCTTCTACCACTGTGAGGAAGGCCCAGACGCCATAACCATCATTCTCTTCTTTGTTTCATTCTCAAATCACCTACGTCGTGACAGACGTCGCTCTTCCATGACCACTCATCTCCGGCTTCTCATCATCATCGTTCATCATCTTCCTTTCTGAAAAAATCTTCCCTTAACTCCTTCTGACTCGTATGCGATTTCGACGACCTCTGCTTAGCTTCCGTTTTCTCCTTCGTATTTCATCATCTCACCTCCGCTCAACATCTTCACGGATTCAAATCAACAAAAAGCAAAAACAGAAATCATATAATTAATGAAAGAAGATTACCGATCGGAGAAGCTTCTAACGCCTCTTCAAACTCAGATGAGGTTTTTTCTTCTTTCTCTGCACTTTGTGTTCTCTTCTTCTCGCTTCTTCTTCAATTCTGATTCTATTTCATCTCTCTTCTACTTCTGAACGTGATTATTTGTTGTTGTTGCATTGAGAATGCCTGAGAGATTTCTATTGTGTGTGGTGTAGTGGAAGGAGATTGAGGATGAGAAGGTGTTTCAGAGATGGAGAAAGATGATGATGAAGATGATTATGGAGTCTCAGAGTGAACGAGTTCAGAGAATTGGGAGAGAGATGAAGAGTGAAATGTGAGAAATTTGCCAAATGAATATGATTTTTCTGTGTATGAGTCATGAAATCTGAGTTTTGTGATTCTTAGTGGTTGAAGAATGAAGAATTCTGAAGGTAAGTTTTCTTTATATAGCTGATAAGTTTGCAAAAGTTAATTACATCAAAATGAATCTATGTCTTAGGATTAGAATTTTCAGTTAGAGATCTCATGATAGAGACTAAGTATGATTAGAGGTTACTTATAAAATATGTTTATGTTAATTGATGTTGAGCTGTAATTTGTTAGTTTTTTTATTTCTTATTTCTTTTCCACGATTTCTACCTTTTCTTCTGATATTTTCCTCTTTACACCTTTCTGGTTTTTTGCTTTGCTATGTTGTAATTGTTTCAACATTTTTTCTGATTTCAACGGTTGTGCAACTCTGATTTGGTGCAAGTACATGCCTGTTTTGTGTGGCATTGAATCAATGGTTCATGATACTTGAATGTAGCAAATTTTGGCTTGTTTTGGTTTTGTTTTGGATAGGTCTTCGCAAGGATGTAGCATGGTTTTAGAACAAAGTTTTAAGAGCATGGAAGCCTTGAATATTGATGAAAGTTTGGCGTAATTGGATGAAGCTTGAAGATTAGGAACAAGTTTTAGACATAGGCTAAGAATTTTTCTTTTGTAATATTTTGGTGTAAAGATCTCCATGCAATGCCATTTGAATTTATAATGAAATTCCTTTGTAAAAGTTGAAGTTGTAGTGTCCATTTTCTTCAAGTGAATATTCGAATATGTACATTTCCCTCCATGTTTAAACTGAACTCCAAAGTCTTTTCTCCAATATTGAATGAACATGATTATGGCATTAATGGCATGATGATGATGATGATGATGATGATGATGTAGTAATGAAACTTGAAGTTTGGATGTTATTTATGAACCTTGTGTGGAATCTCAAATGAAATTATGGGTGAATCATAATGAATTTATCTCTTTGTAAGGAATTTATGTGAACATTGTAATACGGTTGGATAAATGACTTTTTAGCGTTTTATCGCAAATGTTGCGGTTAGCAAGAGTCGCTACCAACTTTTCTTTTAACCAACAAGGAAAGGATGAAAAGAACAGGAAAGACCTTGATAGATTTTGAGTTTGGGGGATAACTTATGAAAAGGGAAAGTGTTAGCACCCTTTTCATCCGTAGATATCTACGGGCTCTTAATTGCTTAGCTCACTTTTGAAAACTTACTTTGTGTGTATGTGATTTGTTTGAAAATATTTTGAAATTCCAATGTAAGACAAACTTTGTAATGATTCTTGTATCAGTCCTCAAGAATGCGTACAAATTATTTTTGAAAATATTTGTTGTTTTGAAAGTGATGTGTGAAAAATGTATGAGAAAAGTTATGAGCAAGCAATTAGGAGTTCTTACCCACTAAAGTCTTTCTTATTCTTTTCCTTCTCCTTTAGAGATAGTATTATCCATACCATTAGTTGGTAGGTAATACCATCTATTGGATGTGAAGGGACATGCGTAAGGTCATTGTATGGTCATCGAAGACAACATGTAAAGATACTTTAGTAATTAGAATGAACTGTCATCATTTATTCGTAGGCAACAAGGGACTAGATCATTTTTCGTAGGCAACTTGAGGGACATCGTGGGACCATGCTTTTTATTCGAAGAGACTATGATGATTTAATTGAGGGTCTTTTCTAAAGTACCCTTACTTTCGAGAGACATGACCAAGTTTTCCGAAGGAAACAAAGGGAATTACCCTAGAGGTGTATACGTGCAAAGTGATTCAATTATAGTTATGTTATCTTGAAATTACTTAAGGTTATCTACCGATTAATGTTATCTTCCCATACAAGCCTATTACTACACAATTATATATATACAAGGCATAAAGTATAAGTGCAGAAAGTAAATCCTTATGACTATTACATGGCTTCGGGGCAGTTATAATATTTAATAAAAAAACTTTGTGAGAAATTAAAACTAAGCTATTTCAAATAACTCGTGCGACCTATACAATTGTTTTTAGGAATTTAAATGCAAAAGATAAATAAAAAAGTTAGAAAGATTTTTTTAAAGTCCTAAAATCTAAAATATTGGAAATTAATTTTTGTGTATTTTTTGTTTGATTTTATATGTTAATAATAAAAAAAACTTATGTCTAATTTTAATTACAAATTAATTAATCTAATTGCAAAAATCTAATTAGAAATAATCAAAAATAATGCAAACGGGACATGGCATGTATGCAAGTTTTAGTTACAAATAGGCATGGAAAGTTACCTATTCTTACCTTGGAGATGTTTTTGAAGTAATTTGAGGTGGTGGTTTAGACTGAATCAAACTGGAACTTGAGATTCAATGGTGTACTTTCTTTGAAAATTTGTGAGTTTTGATAATTTTCTTGAGGCAAATTTTTTGTGTCATTGTAGTGTGAGGGCTTGATTATTTATAGAGGAGGAGATTTAAGTCACTGTTGTACCCCAATATTTTCCCCTAAGATCCCTTCATCATACCATGTTGATTCCATCACAACAAGATCACATTAGGATTCTTGGTTCCCCTCCCTATATTTAGCTTTTCTCTTTGAGGAATCACCAAGCACCTTGACTTGTGTTCTTTTATGATAATGAATATTTTTTGTCTTGATTTCTTCTTTTAATTAATAAAATGTAATGTTGGTTTGTCTTGCTTGTTATCCATGTAGGTAAACACAATGAGACTTAACAAGTTGCCCCATGGGTTCATGAGTTTATTTACATGCCCTAGTCAATAAAGCTTGAGAAGTTCAAGCCTCACCATTGAAGTTGTTTTGGAGGAAATGGCATGGAAAACTTATTTTGGTTCACCATATTTCAATATTATCAAATTTGATCCAAAAAGTACAAGGGGTTGATTGAAAAAATAGTCATGTTTGGACAAGATTTTGTTCCATTTGTTCACAAGTACATATTTCTCTCAATTCTCAAGATATGGAAGTGGTTTTGGTTGTTATGAGTTCTTATTATCATCCTCAACAACTTATATTTACAAAGCATTTGTTTTTGTACAAGAACTTTGTTCAAAATTGTCAAAGTTCCTCAAGGCATGTTTCTTAATCTAAGAGCTAGGGTTTTGAACTTCAAAGGAGTATATCTTGCTCATATTTTGGTATTTTTGAGTGATTCCAAAGACATCATTCTCTTCAAAGGGTTATTAACAAATCACTTCAAAAGTTATAAGGAGTTTTCATGTGGAAGAAACTTGATGAAGAAGAAAGATTACAAGTCCTCTAGATGAATCCCCAATTTTCCATGTGTGACTTCAAATTATCATAACTTGATCATTTTTTATCACCTTGAGCCCATTATTTTTCCACAATTATCTTAAGAATGTTAACTTTATGCCTTCTTTTATGTGCAAAGTGAGAAAATGGATGGAAGTTGCCTCAAGGATACAAAAGATTATAGGTCATTTTATGAAATTTTGCCAACTTCAACAAGTCATAACTCTCTCAATTTTTGGAGATTTTGAATTGTTCAAGTTTCAAAATGTCATTCAAGAGATCTACTTCATGTCATATTTTTTGGTTAAGAGAAAATTCCAAGTGGAAGGCTATGTTTGGATGCAAGACATTATAATTCACTTTTGAAGAAAAATTTGAAATATTTCTAAGAAAGGAAAGTCAACTTTTTTCCCAACTTTGACTCGTTATAACTTTCAGCTCAAGCATCCATTTGTCTCCATTATTTTCACATTGCAAAGCTTGTATCCTCATCTTTCTAAAGCATCAAGAATCATGCCCTAAGACCCCTTGAGCTGAGAATGCCATTGGTCAGAAGTTTGCACTTTGAAACTGAATTTTTCACCAAGTCAGAAGTTTGAAATCCTTGATTTGGCTTCTAAATACTTTGTTTTTGCGCGTTTTTGCTTCTGAACATGTTTAGTGAAATTCCAGAAGTGATTAGCACAACAAAATGTGCGTTTTGGATGAGTTTTGATCAAATTGGAAGTCACACTTTTCTTGTTTGCAACTTCACACGATTTCCCTCCAAACTTCATCATTTCACACGCTTGGACATTCCATTTGATTCCCTATAAATAGAGGGTCATTCCCCATTCATTTCCTCAAGCTTGGATAGCCAGAATCACCATGCCAAACTTATTCCATAACTCAAAATTCAGCAACTTCGAAATCTATATACAACCTTTTTTAATCCAATTTTTCCATCAATTCACCTTCCTTGATCTTCCCTGAAGCTAACCATATAATTAAATTCAAGAATTGTGCCCTATATTGCTCCATAGAAGTCCAGTTTCACAGCTCTGCAACTCAACTTCAATAGGTAGATTCCTTCATTAATTCTTCAAAACTTTGATATTATTGTGATGCTCTCATTGCCCTGGTTCTAGTTGCAACACTTGCTTTTTACTGGAAACACGTTTTTACCATGAAATTTCAAATCCCTTTTCAAAACTTTCCTTCCAAATTGCTTGAGCTACAATTTATATAAATTTTGCGCGAAGGTGTGGTTGTCTTCGTCTTGAAGAGACAGAGCGAATGGCATAGGTCTGAGCTTTTGATTTTACAGTTTGAGAGACCTGCAATTCACGTTGGCTGGAGGTTACAAATGACCAACGTGTCATCTTCTAAACAATGATGGTGTGCCACTTGTTTTTTTTTTAATTCTGATTTTATTTTTGATTCTATGCTTTATTCACTAACGAACATGATATGCATAGTGCGCCAGATCCCTTGGATCTGATTACTAACGCGTTTTGACTCTCATCCAATGGTCCACATATTTTTTACTTTTCTTTTCTTTTCTGATTGTTTATATTTAATTGTTTTAAACTTCAAAAAATCATAGAAAATTCATTTTAAGTCCAAAAATCTGAAAAAATTATGAAAAATATTTTTGATTATTCTCTTTCTGAATTTTATTTTTTCACAATTTAATTTTGTGTTTTGGGATTTTTTTACAAATTTTTACTTTATTTGAATTATTTTAAATGTTTAAAAATACTTTTATGCAT